GATCGGACTAAATCACATGAGTTGTGATAGTCAAGGATAAGCCTTCCAAGAGGTCACGAGTAATGCTAATGACGGAAAAATAAATGAAATGAATGTATGCAATGTGGAAACATGAGCTTGTGTCAAGTGAAAAAAGTAATAATAAAAATAATAGTGTGTAAGTGGAAGTGTGCAAATGGGGGTGCAGGGTGAGGTATGTAAAGTGATGGTGTGAAGTGCATGTGTGCTCAGTGGTAGTATGTAAAGTGCTAGTGGTAGAGTGAGAATGTGTAAGATAAGAGTCATGTGAAGTGAACATGTAGAAAAAGTAATAGTAGATAAGTCAGAGTGCAAAGTGATAGTAAGTAAATGAAATGCATGAATCCTAGAGGAATGCAAGCAAAACGGGTACGGGGAGACCCTAAATCGTGACTTTTGCTTTTCCTTTTGGTTAGAAAAAGAATGAGCGTGCTAAGGCTATGTGTAGCCAAACTCGTCCATCCCCCTTACCAGAAGAGTGACTCCTTATCTTAATCAAGCAAATGACCCTAATAACTAGAATGAAATGCAAAGTCTTAAAGAATGAGGGAAAATGATAGAGGTTCATGCCAAAAATGTAAAAAAATGCTAAAGGGAATGAATGAAATGTAGTGAAGGCATGCGAATATGTACTAGCGAGGGCGGCCCTATTGGGTCTAGCATTGGCCTAGCCCTTTGCTAACGTTTTCTCACAAGCATTGGACTTGTAGGAGTTCGAGGGAAGACCATGACTAGCATTGGACTAGCCACGGTAACGTGCATTCCATCCATATAATCAGATATAATACTAAAAGCAAATAGACATGCTAAGCACATAGTTTCACATAGCACGTAACATATAAGCATGCTTATCTAGATGCAGAACCCTAGGGAAGCGGTAACACATAGCACATAAGCATGCAAATCACACAAGGCAAACAAGCCCTAACTATTACATTAGGGGGCCCTACTACAATCTAAAAGGGGGAAATGGAATAAATAATTAAAATAAATACCTAACTATTACAAATTTGGCATTCAAGTGCATTTCAAATGATCAAAATTGAACTAAAATAAATATACAAAACTAAAGCCAATGAATAAGTAAATAAAATAATAAATATAAAACACTTTCAATAGGCATGCAATTAAACACATAAAGTCACATAGGGCACATAGGATCAAATAAAGTGAGAAATAAGGGATAGGGTGTACCTTCCTTGAGTCGGGACCCTAATGGAGTGAAATTACTTATTTACCCTCAAAAAATAAAAGAAAACATGAGGTGTCGTTTTGTATGTTTGGAAACCACGGAAGACTTTTTTGTGTATTAGATTTACTACAGAGGATTTTTTTTGTTTTTAACCCATGTTTTTTATTATAGTTAATTTTTTCTTTTCTTAATCAAAGGAATGCATTAACATCTAAATGACAAAAATATGTGTATCTCTATTATATTTCATTAAATGCTCTTTGTTGTTGTTTTCATGGTAATAGTTAGATTTGCATTTTTTTCTTATTTATTATAAGCTCTAATTTGGAGAGAAAAATGTTTTTCAAACTTATTGCATTATTAGATTATTTAACAAGCCAACTTACAGATTACTTGGTTCTCCTATTTTTCCTCTGCTTTGCTTGTAATAAGTTATAAGTCAAATAATGCAATCATTCTTCAACTACTTAACTTATTCTCAATTACCTAACCAGATCAAATATTTATATTTTTCTTTAAAGTTAGGTTATCCTTCATAAGAAAGTTTACCTTTTGATGAATTATCAATTTTATTTCATCTGTTTATAAACATTAGATTGAAAGACAAAATAATAGCTTAGTTTAACTTTCATAAACTACCTTTTTAGATGAAATTATTATCAGCAAACTAACCTTGAATAGTACAGTACACTATCAACTTTTATTGTGCTTTATTTCCTTCTCGTTCTTACATGGCAGAGAGTAAGCTTCCTTCACCTTCTTGTTTCCTCACATTTGGTAATACAATTTTTTTTTTTTACTTTTTACTAAATCTATGAATTTATATCTTGCTAAAGCAACATATACTTTCTTTTGCTTGTTTTGTGTTTCCTTTTGCAGCATTACTTTCAGTACTTAAGATTTTTGCTTTTTCTTTCACTTTACTCCAGGTTAGTTACTTCACTTATAATTAGCATGCCTAATGTGATAAAATGCTGATTAAGTTTCGTTGATATTCACAAGTTTCATAAGTAAACTATTACTAGATGCTTAGTATTGAATTATATACACTGTGCAACTTATGATTGGAAACTCTGACAATGAACATTGAAACTGTTGAATAAATATAAATATAAATAATAATGCTAATAACGTTGTTATCCGATTAAAATTTAAGTTAATTTGTCAAATATAACTTGAAATGATCATCTAGATGGTACTCCAATTGAATTATATCTCTTCAAAATTTACATTTTGAAAAGTCTATTAAATTATTTCAACTTTATATTATTGCATATAAATAAAAGGGATGTATTTTCAAAACAGAAAAAATATTTAAATTTGAATTCGACTTATAAAAAGATAAAGATTATTATTGCTGCCAAAGTGCACTGTACATTCTTCTCTTTCACTTTTACTCATTAATACATTAATATTTAATAACATTTTAAATTATCTTAAAATATTTAGTACCAGTTAAACCTGTATAAACCAACTGGAATTGCCACCAAACATAATATACACTTTTCCTATTTATATTTATTTTATTTATGAGTTAATACTTGCTTTTTCTTACAATTAATTTTTTCCCTTTATTTACCAAAGCAATGCATTTAAATGCCCTTTATAATACATTTACATGTATCACTCAACTCATAAACAGTATTTCAATTTTGTTATCGTTAAAAACTTTAGAATGGGCACACCCGCACAGCCAAGCCTTACTAGTGATGATAAATTGATAACTTTGAATAAGACTTAGGCCTATTTTCATACCTACCCGTAAGCGTCTGCATCCTAAATTCTTCTCTGTACGCCCGCCACAATTCATCCGCTTCCCGGCCCAAATGCCAAAACCCACTATTCCTCTCCCGCACTCCACATTACTGTACATATATTATTTTTAACAAAACGCCCTGCCCTCCATGCCCGTCCCTTCCTTTTAATTCTTTGCTCCTCATTTCTTATTGGCAATATCACAAACGCCTAGTCTTCGTACCCGATGAATCACCCTCTGTGAACAACGAACTCAATTTCTAGAGGTACTTCTCTGCTTGCCTTTTTTTTTTGGGTGAAAATATCTTCTTCCTGCTGTTCTGGAAATATAAGCAATTTATTGATTCATGTTTGTTCTGAGCTCTTCGGGTTTTCTTTCAATATTTTTTTTGAAAAATGAAGCTTTTTTTCTGAAAGAAGAATTGCATCTGTAATTACTATTAACTGGATCCTTATATGTAATGCTGGAGTGATTAAGTGGAAATTCTTTCTTCTCGAAAAAATCAGTTTTTGGTGGGCTGTTACTCAATTTGAAAAGGGAGGAGTGGAAGATATCGAATTGGAAAAGATAGGACTATTTGACTTGTAGTAAGCTAATAGGAAGGGAAAGGAATGAGCAAAAAAATTGCCCTGCCCCTATTAAAAAAAACAAATTAAAAGCCAAGGTGACTAGAAGAGCAATTAAAATAATTTGCAAAATTCTCCAGTATAACTGAGAATGTCAAGATTGTATTTTTCTTTGCTAATGAAATAAGGGAACCACGTTAAACTTCAGAAATTACGCTCCCTTTGGATGCTTGTTCTTTGGGAATGTCAGGATTGTATTTTCTATTTTAATAAAATTAGGGAAACATGTTGCACTTCAGGAATTAGGTTCGCTTTGGGTTTTTCTTTAATTTTTTGGGTAGTTTTAGGAAAAGTTCAGTCTAGCAGCTTTTTTCAATGAATGTAAGTAAGATAACGTGTTTGGAGTTTCTGAACAGCATTTTTGTAAAAGCACACTCCACCACGTAAAGTGAGCCTAAATGTGAAATGAAAAGATACGAGGAAAAGAAAATATTGTCGGATTTTGTCATAAGGGAAGTTTGCGGAGGTGTGTAGAGGTTTTACTCATTGCCTGGAAAAATTGGAAGTGCCATTCTTTTTTCTTTTATGCATTGAATCATCTTGCTTTTCCTTTTCTCTTCCTCAAGGATAATGTCACATTGTCTCGTCTGAGGCATTTTTGGGAACAATTACACAGAGGATGGTCTAACTTATGTAGAGCAGACCAAAAAGGCACAACCTGCGCCCTCACGCTAAAGGGAGAGAAAATATTAGACATCCTAAACTGGGCAATGGTCATTTCCACCTTCAGAGACTCTTTCTGTTGCTAAAAGGTTTTAATATATTGATCAAATGCAAAAGCTGGTACTTTTTATTTTTATTATTATCATATTAAAAAGAGGATCAATATTGGTTCTTCAATTATCCCCTTGATGACTTGAACTAGTGACCTATCAGTTTACAAGTGAAGTGTCTTACAATTAAGCTGCACTTTGTTGTCAAAAAAAGGTGGTACTTTTGATTATGTAATATTTGTTTAGAAGTTATATGGATTAAATTAGATATAGAGTATGAGGATATAGGATGGATGTGCATGTACCATAGGTAAAGCAAGATAATAGCCTTACTTGTGATGTTCAATGCTGCCACCTTTTACTATGGTGCTCAATTTTAAGTTGGTGCAAGCTATGGTTGCTGTATGATCTTTATATGCATCTCTTGCCCTCAGTATATTGTCAACAACTATATGGGAATGTTTTGAGATCCACCTTGTGATTCTTTAATTACACGGTGTAATTGGCAGTGTGTTCCTGAGAGCAATATGAGCACAAAACTTGGCAGTCATCCAACTATAGTCAAAGCACTGCAACAAGTGTACCTGCTAGTGGCTCAAAAATCTCCAAGTTTGCAACCAAATCTGGGTTCTTAATACCAAAGAACAAATATCTGGTTCATTGGTTCCCTTCATCCGAGGTGGTAAAAAAGGCGGTGATGCAGCAAATGGAGAAAACAATAAGGAGGGGCAAAGGAAAACCAAATGGGCCCTGATTTGACTCAGGATACTGCTGTTAGAAAAGGAAGAGCCTTAGCATATCAGGTAGCTGGATTTTTTCCTCCAGTTTTGAGTTCATGTTGTAGTGACATTTTCTCCCTTACCCTTAGCAAACTTCCTCCTCTTTCTTTTCTTTGGCTTCTAGAGTCATGTATGGTTATACATTCTTTATTCTGGTATTTTTCTTTGTAAGATCATTCAGCTCTTGAGAGTCCAATTTTCTAGAAATAGGTTGGAGGCATTTATAGACCAAATTTGGAAGCAATTTATTATTGCTGGGAGGCAATTGAAAATCTACCAGCATCCCTTGTGGTGCTAAACTGTCATTCTATTCTCTGCGAATGGTTTGCAATCACTTCTCATGCTCGGTCTGACTAAGTGATATTGCTGCCTGTGTGGCGACACAAATTTTGGGCAGACTCGGGTGGACCAAATAGCACAACAGCTGAGACTTGGAAAGTTGGAGACTGAGGAAAACCAAGATTTATCGTCACCATTTCAAACTGAGGAGCACAAATTTTCAGATCGTCAGCTTGAAGCTCAGGTAAACTTTGAAGTACACTATCTGACCTGGGTAGCTTGGGTTGCACTTACACCATTATATTTCTCTGTAGGAATTGGAGCTATTGGAGCTTGAAAGGCGCGATGCTACTGGTACCATCAACATGAATCTTTTAGATAATTCTTCCTGTATCTGTATTATGTGTGTGTGTGTATATATATATTTACTGTATTCTTGATGGTTTTTAGGTGAAATACTGAAGTTAAATCCGAGCTACAAGGTTCCTGCTGATTATAAACCTGTGCTGAAAGAGGCAAAAGTTCCGATCCCTGTAAGTCAGTAGAGTTTACTGATGTGATGGTTTTAGCACTTTGTTGCCTGTTTATGCATTATAACTAGAACACAATCTGGCTTTCTAGGAAAGAAAAAGAGAAATAAGAAATAAAGATTGAAAATAGCCTTTCTCTGAATTGCGGCTATATTTGAATGTTTCAATTATTCACTGGAAACATTTGAGGTAGCAGGCAAGGAGTTAAAATTAGTAGTTGTCATGCTAGAATATAGTTGGCCTCCATATCATCTATAACTATTGCCAGGTTGATCACAATTTAATTTTGTCAGATTGGGCATTGTGGTATGAAATAGAGAATAGAAGTCTGAATCACAAAAGTGATTCTGAAGCATTAAAGTAGTGCACATCAAAGTCTTATTGTGTGATGAAAACATAATTGAAGCAATTCAAACTGGAGGTGATTTGAGGACAATAGGACCCTGGAAATATGGCTTTGTATTATGGTAATATGTTATATGTTTATTAGCTTAATTTTCTATCTATCTATCTATCTATGTTTATTCTTTGAGGTGGATGCTTCCCCTTCTGCCCCTCGTTCCCTCTAATTGTGAGTGGATGGGACATTTTGGCTGGGGCTGTATTAATATAATTATGCTTAATCTGCTCATCTCATTCCATTAGGCTACAGACTTAGTTTATCTTTCGGAGATGGGATGCATTTCACAGTAACTGTCCTTTTGCTTCGATATCTTGGTCTCATCGAGTCATGTACTGCTACTGATTTCTTCTTGTGGTCTAATTGATGGTAAGTGGATGCTGAAAGAACAAAAAATGTGGAGAGCTAGCCTTTATGGAGTTCAGAATTTCTAAGAAGAGTATGGCTTGTCTACATTTTGGCATATAGTTGGTGAAGATAACAGCAAACTTACCATATTTGCATGATTGCAAGATTGGAAATTGTAAAAAAAAAAAAGGAAATAAACAGAACTCTGCTTTTTTTATTTTCCCACACTCAGAATATGCTTATAAGGTAGACATTTATAGGGTAACCCTATCACAATTCTGCCACAACTTAAGGTAATAGAACCATGATTTTAGGGATTACGTAATCAACTCATAGCCTATCTTTTATTTTAGTTAATCTATTCAAACTTGATTGATCTTAAGCAATAAAATCCATAATCATGGGAGATAATATCTCTAATGATCATGGGAGATAATATCTTCGACACTCCCCTCAAGTTAGTGCGTATATATTTATCATGCCCAACTTGCTTGTAAGAAGTTCAAAATTTGGTCTAGAGAGCCCTTTTGGTGAGAATGTCAGCTATCTGCTGAGCTGATGGAATGAATGACATGCAGATAATTCCTCCTTCAAGTTTCTCTTTTATAAAGTGGCGGTCAATCTTAATATGTTTGGTTCTATCATGTTGCATGGGATTATGAGCTATGCTAATTGCTGCCTAGTTATCACAATAGAGCCTCATTGGAAGTTCAATAGGTCTTTTCAGCTCCTCTAAAACTCTCTTTAGCCGTAACACCTGAGACACACCATGAGCCATAGCCGGTACTCTACCTCTGCACTAGTACGAGCTACAACACTTGGTTTCTTACTTCTCCAAGTAACCAAATTGCCCCATACAAATTTACAATACCCCGAGGTTGATCTTTTATCAATGACTGATCCTGCCCAATCAGTATCTGTATAAGCTTCAATGGTTCTTCGATCTCTCCTTTTAAAGAACAATCCCTTTCCTGGAGTGCTTTTTAAGTACCTCAGAATTCGATATACTGCATCAAGGTGCTCTTCACACAAAGAGTGCATAAACTGGCTCACAACACTCACTGAAAAGGCTATATCAGGACGAGTGTGAGCCAAGTAAATTAGCTTGCCCACTAACTTTTGGTATCGAGCAGTATCAACTGGTGTTCCATCTTTTAGATCTACTAACTTGTGATTCGGATCCATAGGAGTGTCTGCAAGTCGACATCCACTTATCCCTGTTTCCTTAAAAGATCCAAAACATACTTACCTTGGGACACAACCATGCCCTTTCTGGACCGAGTTACCTCCATTCCTAAGAAATATCGTAGTGTTCCCAAATTTTTGATTTCAAAACTAGAAGCAAGACTTTTCTTCAACCGCTCCATCTCAGTTAAGTCATATCTTGTGAAAATGATATCATCCAAGTACACAATGAGTACTGCTATCTTCCTGTCTTTGGAGTGTTTAACAAACATGGTGTGATTACTCTGAACTTGGGTATAGCCATGATCCTTTACTGACCTAGTAAATTCAAACCAGGCCCTAGGAGATTGTTTGAGACCATATATCGATTTTTTAGCTTGCAAATTCTAAACTGAAACTTCCCTTCAAATCCAGGGGGAGAATTCATGTACACCTCTTCCTCCAGATCTCCATTTAAAAATGCATTCTTTACATCAAGTTATTGTAGTGGCCAATCAAGGTTTACTACCATTGAGAGAAGCTCCCTGATAGTGTATAATTTTGCCACTGGAGCAAAGGTTTCAAGATAGTTGATCCTGTAGGTTTGAGTAAACCCTTTAGCCACGAATTGAGCTTTGTACCATTCCAATGTCTCATCGAAATTATACTTGATGGTAGAGACCCATTTACACCCTATTGTTTTTTTTTACCTTGTGACAGGTTTGTTACTTCCCATGTTTGATTCTTCTCAAGAGCATGCATCTCCTCTTCAATAGCCTTTCTCCACTCTGGAACTTGTAATGCTTCCTGTACATTCTTTGGAATTTCCACAGAAGAAAGTTGTGAAGTAAATGTCAAGAAAGTAGGGGATCTCTTTTCATAAGAGACATAGTTAGTTATGGGGTGTTTGGTACAAGAACGCACTCCCTTTTGGAGTGCAATAGGAAGATCCAAATGAGCAATCTTTGAATCAGAGGAAACTTTATCTGAGGACTCAAACACATCAAATTCTACCCTAGGTTTGGATTCCTTGTTGTGAAGAGATGGGGGATCTTTTTCTTTTCCTCAATAATTTTTCCTGACATAGGGTTCAGGTTTTTTCCAGTTACGTTCCCATGTCTTTCACTAAAAGAATTTGACTCTATTATTGGCACTAAAGACAAGGGACCCTCTTTTAATCCTTGATCAATTTTTTCAAGTTTTTCAAAATCCTTTTGACAGGTAAATTGAAGAGTCATTTGATTTTTCAGGATTGTTATCTTGAAAAGATTTTTGTCGAGGAAATTGTGCTGTAGATTTTTCTAAAAAATTAGTAAAATCAATTCCCCCTATCAACAAAATTTGATTAGGAATTTGATTTTCAGTACAAAAAACATCATCATCTTCTCTAAGTTCTTCTATATGCCGAATCCCTGCCTGAAGAGGATCTGCAATAAGGGTTTATCTTTAAAAATTGTTACATCTATGGTTACAAACATTTTTTTGTGAAATAGGATCAAAGCATTTATGCCCATTTTGCGTGGGTGCATATCCAACAAAAATGCGTTTTCTTGCTCGAATATCTAACTTACTTTGACCCTGTTCATGATTGTGAACAAAGGCTATGCACCCAAACACCTTTTGTGAGATTTCATATGTTAATCAAGAAATGGGATAAAGTGTTTTGAAAAAATTCAAAGGAGTTTGTAAATTCAATGTTCTTGAGGGCATTTTGTTTATGAGATATGTAGCAGTTAAAATTGCTTCATCCCATAGATATTTAGGAACATTTCTTGAAAAAAGTAATGCCCTTGCCACTTCTAAAAGATGTTTATTTTTTCTTTCAATTACCCCATTCTGTTGTGGAGCATCATTGCAGGAGCTTTAATGCACAATCCCTTTTTCAAGAAAGAAACTTCCGAAAATTTTATTGAAATATTCTTTTCCATTGTCAATCTGTGCAATTTTGACTTTTTCTTGAAATTGGGTCAGAACCATGCAGTAGAAATTTTGAAACACACTTGCAACCTCTGATTTCTCTCTTAATAAATACACCCAACAAACTCTCATGTGATCAACAATGAATGTAACAAACCATTTTTTTCCAAACTGAGTTGAAATTCTAGAGGGACCCCAAACATCAGTATGTAATAGAAAAAATGGTTTTGAGGGTTGATAAGGTTGTATAGAAGATGTAGACCGATGATGTTTAGCCAATTCGTAGATTTCACATTGAAAGGAAGATGAATCCTTATTCTTAAACAAAGCTGACAATAAATATTTCAAGTAATAAAAACTAGGATGTTCTAGTCTAAAGTGCCATATCGTAATCTCTTTATTACTAGTAATAGACACAGACTTGTAACATGTGTTTTTGATTGGTATTGTCACATTTGATCCATCTTCAAGGAAGTAAAGTCCCCCATTTTCTCTAGCGCATCCAATCATTCTTCCCGTGGTCTGTTCCTGAAACTCATAGAAAGAAGGGAAAAAAATTAATCCGACACTTGAGATCCCTAGTTAATTTACTTATGGACAGCAAATTGCAAGATAAATTTGGAACATGAAGAACTCTATGAAGTGTTTGAGTAGGAGAGATGACAACGGAACCTATGCCAGCTCTAATGGATAATGATCCATTAGCAATCTTGACCCTCTTATTGCCTGCACATGGACTGTAAGTTGAAAATAATTGTGACGAATTGGTCATATGATCAGTGGCCCCAAAATCAATAACCCATAAAACTCGTGCACAAGATGCATTTGATGTTTTACATGAAAGAGGAACAATAAAATGATTACCATTTTTAGCAAAAGAGCAGAAGGGAGTGAAGCTTTTTTGCTCAGTGGTTGAAAATTGTGGAGACTTAAAGAGTTTGTACAATTGGCTTAATTGTTCCTTTGTGAAGGTCAGTGTCTCAGAGTCGGTTTGTTGCTTTTGAGAATCCTCGTTCACAGTCTGCAACGCCTTGCTATCACCTCCATTTTCTTCTTGAAATTCGAAGGTTTCCCATGTAATTCCTAGCACGTGTCCTTTGTGTGCCACGACTTTTTACAGTGTTCACACCAAGGCTTCTATCTCCGTCCAAATCTGTCCCCTTAGAAACCAATGCTGAACTCTCAACTTCACACTCTACCTTGGACTTTAGCATCACCTTATGCCTTGATTCTTCTCTCCTGACCTCAAAAAATACTTCACGAATGGAGGGAAGAGACTTCTTGCCCAAAATACGACCTCGCACCTCATCAAGTTCTTGATTTAGTTCGGCCAGGAAGACATAGACTCTGTCGTTCTCCTCCCATTTCTTATATCAAACACTGTCTGCAGGGCAGTCCGATTCGTCCTCATAACAAAGATCCAATTCCTGCCATAAAGTTACCATCGGATTGTAATAGGTTGTAACATCTCTGTCTTCTTTTCTTAATTTCCACAATTTCGTCTTTGAGATTGAAAATTTGAGACGAATTCTTTACATCGGAATACATATCCCAGACAGCGTCCCACACATCTTTGGCTGTGGGCAAAAATAAATGTAGCTTTCCTATCGCTAATTCCATAGAGTTTATCAACCAAGCAATAACTAGAGAGTTCTCTGAATACCACCATCTCTTCAAATTGGGATCTTCAGCAGCTGGTTGTTGAATTTCTCCAGTAATGTGGCCGAGTTTACCTCTGCCATCAATAGCAAGTTTTACGGATTGAGCCCATTCCAGATAATTGGAACCATTTAATTTATGAACGGTTATTTGCAGGGAAGGAGAATTTGAAGCAGTGTAATCCGTAGTTTGGGTAATTACTGAAGATGAGAATGAGTCTTCTCTTGTGTGAGCAGTAGACTCCTTGGATCCAGTCATGGCTGCTCAGTAATTCATGGACAGGAATTGGTACAGAGCCGGAGCTCTGATACTATGTAAACTTTAAAAACGAAAAGGAAATAAACAAAACTCTGCTTTTTTTATTTTCCCACACTCGGAATATGCTTACAAGGTAGACATTTATAGGGCAACCCTTTCACAATTCTGCCACAACTTAAGGTAACAGAATCATGATTTTAGGGATTACGTAATCAACTCACATCCTATCTTTTATTTTAGTTAATCTATTCAAACTTGATTGATCATAAGCAATAAAATCCCATAATCATGGGCGATAATATCTCCCATAATCATGGGGGATAATATTTTCGACAGAAATTTTCTATAATTTTTTTTGGTGTTTGCCTATTTGTTCATATGTTGTCTGGCAGTAGTCTTTCAACTTATTTTCTTCAGTTATATGGTTGGTTCTCAAAGCAGGGCTTAAGTGACAAAGCTTTTCTTATACTGGGTAGAGGTATAATCAAATGAGAACTTTGTTTACCGTTGGTCAAATTCCTGTTTGAGTTATTATTTTATTTAACAAGACCTTAACAAGGACACTGAATGTTACCTCTTAGGTGAAATACATTATCTATGCGGACATCTTAATTTTTTGGAGGATCTAGAGTGAGATCATTAAGAAGTTAGACTTCCAAGAAAGATGATTTGTTAATATTATGTGTGCTGAGAGATAAGGATTTCATTCATATGGAAAGGTGGATATGTTGGATATCGAAATTGTTTACTTTCTAGCCTTGCTGAGTGGTGAAGATGGTTTGAAACTAGTACATCACTGACTACTGAGTTCCTTTGAAGTTTTGTTGGGTCTATTCGTTTCACAAATTAATAGGAATAAAGCTTACACTTATTTTGCAGTAGGATGACCATGGACATTCTTGTGGATCATACACATGTAGTCATGTGCCTACCTATTGGTTTGGATTTCAAATCTTTATTGATACAAGAAGAGACACACTGTACTCTTGGTCTCCTCCATCCCACTCTTGCTTGAGAAACTAGAGAAAGAAAGAGGCCACACTTTTTCTAATGTCACAGTTGTTTTTAATTTCTTGCATGCAGAACTAATATTGGACACTTCTGGGATTTGCTGATGACATTCCTCGTATTGGTTTTTGCTCTGTCTATGTGCAGATTAAAGAGAATGCTGCATATAATATGGTTGGTTTAATTTTTGGGCCAGCAAATGACACTCAAAAGCGACTGGAAAAGGTTTATATCGGCATATGCCCTCTGTGCTAATATTATATTACTGCCACAATTATTTATAGTATGCAATTATAATTCTGTGTGAAAAATTCACTGGTTGTTTACTTTGAGATCAGGAAACTGGAGCTAAAGTACGAGTTTATGGAACAAGAGCAGTTACTGGAGAAAAGGTAATGTGGCTGCCCCAAGTTGCCTTGCTATATTTCTTGTCCTGTTTCACTAGGTCCTGCATGCATATGATTCTCGCCCCTTTTTTAGTAATTATCCAGAGCATCAGCTTGGGTATTTATTTCTCTTTTGTTTACGCTGGTACATGCGATGGGCTGCATGATGATATGCATGGGCTTCTCTTTATGTTTTTCTCTGCTATTATTCTTATCACTCTCCAGGTTGAAGTTACTACTCCTGATGGTAATGAAACATGTGGTAGTTATGATGAGTTGCACGTTCATGTATCAGCTGACACATATGAAAAGATTGATGCTGCGGTGGCTCTTATTGAACTGCTAGTCACCCCAGTTTCGGTGAGTCTCCTGAACTTTAAGATCGTAGAATATTAGTCAGTTATGATTGCTAATATCTTCTTAAGGTCATTTAGAGTAATTTACTTCTTCATGCCATTCTTTGTACGAAAATAACTTAGTAATTGTTAGACTTTTCAGGGGAATCCTGCTTCCATTACTGTAACATCAACTGCAACATCTGGTGACAATGTGAATAGTGGTGCTCCGAGTCAAGGCACACCTGGTACTAATGTGCCTGCTGGTGTGGCAAGTGGAGTGGCTCAGCCAAGTGTAGGATCTGGACCAGCACCTTCACCTAATCACTTTCAGCAGTACTCAGGGCCTTGGTTTCCTGTGGGTGCACCTCAGACACATGCCTTTCCATCATCAGGTTTTGCTGCGGCTCCTGTCCATTTGTCTCCATCACAGTTCAATCCCTCAAGTATGCTGCCAATATTTGGTCCTCGGCCAGTTGTCACAGTGGGATTTACTCCGGTTCCCCAGAATCCTTCACTTATTACCTCCGGGCCACAGCAACCACAAGTTCTGCAGAGGCCATACATTTCACATCCGCCACCTTTGTCAGCTTCACAACCTGCACCTATTCAATCAAATGTCACATCACCACAATTATCTACTAACCAGTCAGCACCAACTGGGCCCACCCAGTTTGGGAGTTCAATATCTATTTCTTACCAGCCACCTTATGCTGGATCATCTATAGTACCAGTGAACACTCCAACATCCATTGGAGCTGGAAATATGATGTCAATGACCCCTGCAACAACTGGTCTGCAGGGCCACCCCTCCATGGCTTCTCATCCTTTGGCTGTGTCCAGAGCTGCACCGCCAAATATCTTTCCAATTACCCAGCAATCTGCTTTGCAGTCAGCTGGTGCTGCAGTTAATCATCCCGCAAATGTCCCATACTTCAACTCTAGTTCCCACTTCCAACAGGGGCTTTCACTTTCTCCACTACCTTCAGCAGCAAAAGTACCTGGTCCCATGCAGTCTGTTATGCACGAGCTGTGATACCTAATTCATCTCCCAATGTGGTACCAGGATCCACCCCTCTTCTTTCACCAGTGACATCTTCATCAACACTACTACATCCAGCTTCAGGAATTCCTAATTCTGGTCCTGCTGGTGCTGTCAGTTTTAATGCCATTAACCCTGCAAATATGACTGCTCCCAGACCACAGCAACCCAGCTCAAATGATTTTACTTTTCAGCCTCACCGGCCACACAATCCAGCCCTTGAAGTTGCTCATAGACCAAATACTCAACCTATACTTTTACATCCAAATCAATCAGCACAGCCATATCAGGAATCTCAGATTTCACCTGTTCAGCCAGGAATGCACATGTTGAGACTACCACCTGCAAATCCAGGGTTTTCTAGGCCTAATGTTGGCAATCAAATGATGCAGCCTAGAGCTCAAACGTCTGTTAACTTTCCCAGTAGTCCAACAGCGCTTCTGGGTCCACCTAGGCATGCACCATTTCCAGGTTCGAATGCTGCTCCTCTACTGCAACCAAGAAACTTCAATTTAGATCCCCATTCGTCAATGCAGATGGAATTCCTCGAGCAGGGGGCCCAATGCAAATTCAGCAAAACTACCCTCCATCGGCAACTAGGCCGCCAAGTTTTGTTGCTCCAAATCAACATATTAACAGTAATATTTCCTTTCAACCTGCTGCTGGGCTATCTTCTAGAGCTTCTGGAGTACAGCAAGTGTATGATCCCTTCTCGCCAACATCTGTTTCTCTTAATACTCATTTAAGCAGTAACAGAGCAAAGATTCAGAAACAGGAGAGTGATCCAGAGTACGAAGACCTGATGGCCTCAGTCGGTGTAAAGTAATGTATGCTCGTTAGTTTTTAGATGTCAGTGGCTTATGACCAAGAAAAAGGTTCACATGATGCGGATCAATCTGTGTCGAGCTTGGATCTAATTTATGAAATCATGCATTGCCGGTTCTTACTGGTACTATTCTTAATGGGTTATTACCAACATTTAGAGGGGAAAAAATGGAAATTTTCAACTTTCAATTATTTCTAGATGTTGCAAAATACATCTGTATTCTATCACAGTTTGTATAGTTTCTTGTCAACCTCTATCAACTAAATCTTAAATCGGCCACCTCATAGCTAATTGTAATACCTATTTAAAATTGACGAATATCAAGGTAGAAAACCCTCATGTCGATTCCCTTTTCATTAGTGTTGAATGAGAATATTGCTATGAAATTCTCAATGCTGAATGTTTCTAAATACCATGGCTGTGCTTGTAGCCATTTTGTTCATCTTTTTATACTATTCCTGTTTACTGATTTATATAACCTGTAAATGAATTGTTGTGGTTTCTCAATTTTTTCCCTTTATATGCTTCAATTATTGAAAACACTTGAATGTAGGACCCAAATTACAACCAACCAAAAAGAAAAAAAAAGGATGAGCACACCAAATATCCATAAAACAGTAAAAGGAGAGAGGTGGCAGTTGGGATAAACATTTTGTGTCATTTTTTGAACTTCCAATTTTGCTCTTAAAAAAATTAATTTTTACCCCAACCACCTAATCATATTTGCTAATATAATCTCCTATAACTCCCTTAGATACAGCAACTATCAAATTAACTATAACTGTATTAAAGAAAAAATTACTAATAAATTGTAATTTTTTTTTCATGAAGAATTTATATAAAATTTATTTTTGTAAAAATAATATTAATATATTCATAAAAATCAATAATTATTTCTAAATTGCACACACTGGGTGCGCCTTTAACACTAGTCCTTATAACGTCTAAACTAATAAAATTTCACAGAAGATAAAGAAAAAGCAAAATTTCAATAGGAATGCATTCCCATGAGCACTATATTAGTGTAACTGTAACATGATGAGCAGTATAACAGTTGGTTGTTCATAAATGTTGTTATGGTATTTCAAATAAATTTTTTGGTCCGATTCTAATAAAATGCTTCTCTATTTTTTGAGTTTCCAGTAACTGATGATATTAGGCGCTTTAAAGAATTCAAGGAACTCAAAGTTTTCATCTATTTACCGCAAAAAAAAAAGCACAAACAAATTAATGAAACTATTATCCATTGGAATCGAGGGCATTGACTTCAAGGTTCATGGTAGCATAGTAAAATATATTGTTCCTGTGAAAATAAATGCTGGGGTCTAAAGAATTTTGGTTCTGAAATTTTACAGAAAAAAAAAGAAAAAATTTGAGATACTCGTTGTCATTGATATTCTTTTAAGAACTTCTCAGATAGTCTTCTCTGATTATGCCTTTCTTGATTTTTTTAAATCAATCAATCCATAATTTTTATTTATTTATTTTCACATTCTCTTCAATGGCATGATTCCCTTTTTAATCTGTAATTAGGATAATTCTACAAGTCCTCAAATCTTTTTAATTTTGTACCCCTATTATTTGTCTTGATTATTCATTGTTACTTATAAAATTTTGACAACTTTTATTTTTATATCATTAGCATATTACTCATGCTAATCCATTTAGGTTGTCCAGTTAGTAATTTGGTTCTGAAAAATTCTCCCTGTTTTTCTTTTCCAATACATTCTGTTTGACCATCTAAGTATCGATTTGGTCAAATCCTCTGTTCTCTTCCTTTCCAAACTTTTTTGACTCCTTAAACAAATTAAAATATTGCCTTTCAAATTACTTTCCTTCTTCCAACTTCTTATTGTTTCAAGTAAATTAAGAATTCCACTCTCCTTTAATCTCTTTTTAAATTTTTTTTAAATAGATCAAATTTTAAGTGCATTTGCACGGTATTATTATTTTACTTTATATGGAGATGCTAAATTATTTTGTCTCATTTTTTTTAATGTATCCCCAAACAAAAATTAGGATCTCTATTCGGGCATTTAGAAAACCAATGAATCCATATACTTTTTTCACTATAACTATAACTATTGACTATAAACAAAAGTTGAATTGTTAGTCTTTTTGGAGTGGGAAAGGATGATGGAATTGACTATAAACATGAATGTATTTTTTTATATTGTATTTTTAGAAGTGTTTATTGTTTTATTTGTAGAAGACTTTATCGTTTTATCTCATGTTTACAACATTGATTTTATTTTCTATTGTCTAATTTTATTCATGAGTTAATCTTATATGTACTGTCAGTACATATATTATCAAAGTCAGATAGATGACACATATACGAAATTTAAATTTTAAATTCAAAATAATCGTCCTGATACACTATTGTAAAACTGTACAAACGATTCAATCTGTTTATGAAGGACATTTCTTCAACTCAAGAATGTTGGAAGGAATGTGGTTCTATCGGTGAGTCCTTTGATCAAGAAAAGAATACTAAAAAGCTAGTCCTAGAAATATATACGATTCTGACCTAGAAATGTACTCACAAGTCACAAAAAGGCCAGAAACAAAAAATTGGATGTCATGACTATTTACAATGAGATAAGATACATACAACCCAATTGGTTAAAGTGGAAAAGATACAAGAAACTTGAGACTGTTTTTATCATATGTTAATATTAGTTAGTAATCATGACAGACCCCAGCAGTTTGTGTGTCAAGTTTGGTCATTGATGCTTAACCGCAAAGTGATGGTTCTATGGTGAAGGAATCAATTATAATATCTTCAAGCTGCAAAGTCACTTCCTCAAAAAGCAAGGCAGAAAAAAAGAACATTGTTGTTTGTATGTTGTGTTATTTTAGTGTTTGTATGTTTTTTTAAAAAATTACCATGGATTTCACAAGACTAATATTTTTAGCCAATACCACTTTGGTCAATTATTGATGGATTTCACAAGACAAATATGTCATTTGGTTAGTTTTGTGTAGCTCATTAATATTTGGACAAAAGTGGGATGTGTTAGAAAGGTTATGATACAAAATGTTCCCATATTAATGTTTGAGATGCAAAGTGGGAATAGGTGTAGGTTTGAGTCTACAAAATGGAATTTACCCTTCTCACATCCCAAAGAGTACTTAGTACTCTTAATGACTCTGCTACTCCACATTTATCTATCTCAGGAGCAATGAAATAGTGAGATGAGAGAAGTGAAAAAAAAAGGGAAAAATGATAAGGAAAAGAAAATAGTAGAAAAGAAAACAAAGGAATGAATAAACAAGGAGAAAGCAAAATAATATAGTAGGGGCACCTTTATCCAAAAAACATCAAAAAGAGGTTAAGTGCCTGTTTAATAAGTTTAGAGAGGTAAAGTACAATTAGAGACAAAGTTTAGGAGATTTAATGCATTTAACCTTAATTTGTTACTCAATATTAATAAATCCAGTTGGGAAAAAAAATGTTTTGATTCCTTTCATTGATTTCAACTTGACTTCTCTTATATATTGACATAAGAACCATGAAATGAAAAGATTAAGACTGGTTAGTGGGAATATGACAATCAATAAGAAAAATGTTGGTCATATTCAAAAAATATGTTACATTTTTATCACTTCTAATTGATTGTTTTCATCGCTTGAGTCTAATTAAGACTGGGATGGGACATTATACACTTGCAAGTTCGTCATGAAAACCACTAACAAAAAAGTAAAGAAAAAAAAAAATGAATATAGCATTATAAATTAGAAATTAGAAAAGCATGATGACACATGAGAGACTTTTTTTCTTTAAGAAACTGATTTATTGATCAATATAGATATCGCCAATATATACATATAAACCAAGGAGGCAGAATCTCCGATAATGCAAATTCATATAATCTAGCATACTTTGTTAATATTGAACAACCCTCGTTGTCTCTTCTTCCTAACGCCTTAGCATCTATTGAGCGATTAAGCTAAAGAGTTAGTTAGTCGAAATATCTTTATTTAACTTGTTGAGTGCATGTCCGGTTACTAGCAGTGCATAAACTCTCAAGGTGGTGACATTCCAAATGGCCAATTTTGACGCGCATCACTCTCTTCAATTAGGTTGTCTCCAAGGAAAGCGATTAGCTTATGTGGAGGTTTTAATATTTCTTTTCAAGTTGAAGATAGGCACAGAGCGAGTGGA